TGGCACTCCCCACGCCCGTGGAGAGGCACAGTCCCCAGCAGGTGCCGCAATTAGACTCTCTCCCTGGCATTCCGTTCTGGGCGCAGTGGGGAACTTCGAGCCCCCCAGTGACCACCAGGCCAGACAAAGAACTTCAGGGGAACATGCCAGAGTTGCTCTGTTCCCGAGAATTGCACACTGAGTAGGTGGGAAATCTTTCTTAATTGTTTCTGGTGGGTGGCTGAAGCAGCTGATTCTTTCCTTCCCCTTCCTGAGCCCGAGGCTGCACAGAACTTGGCTCCAGTATTTAACGTGCTTTGCAGAGGAAAAAGCCAAGTCCACGGAAATCTCAAGGCTTCCGGGAGGCAGGACGATTTTTTCATTTAGAGAAATCTTTTCCATTGCAGTTGACGTACAATACACTGGCATAGGAGTGAGTTTGCAGCGTCCAGCACAGGGATCAGACATGGGTGGAAGTCACGCAGTGGCCACCCCGATTCGTCCGGTGCCCGCTGACCGATGTTTCTACTTCATGGTAAGGGCTGAGGGAGGCTGGGCATTGGACGGGTGACCCGTCCCAGGCTGCTGACTGTTTCAGACGCCACCCTCCTCTCTTCCTCCTGGCCCATCTTGCTAGCACAGGTTACCATCTCCAAAGTGGACGCAACTATTCCCGGGCAGCCAATTCTTTCAGGACTGGGAAGCCCGTTGGAGCTCTTGGCCGTCAGCTGAGATGTGGAACTCCGCCTGTGCATTGCAAAGGGCTCTCCGTCCGTGTTCACTGTGCCCAGTGGCTGAGTTAACCCTTGTTTGCAGAATGAAATGACCGCAGGGAACAGAGAAATTCTGGGCTTCCACCCTCCTCTGCAACCCACATCCGCGCCTGGGGGAGGAAGGAGCCACGCTTCCGCATTTCCAAGTTCTCTTCCTCTCGGGTTGCAAAAGTCTGGTCAGGAAGTTCTCAGAAATTTGGTGACGCTCACTCTTGTGTTTTCTCCACTTAAATAACAAATTGCTCGCACAATAGCTTATTTTGTATATATTTTTTTCCTTCAGGGAACATGATGAAAAAGCTTTGGAAATAAAGCATTTCGTTTATAAGCTCTCTGGCAACCCACTCTTGGTAATTCAAAACTGTCATCCCATCTAAATTGGCATCATTATACTTTGAGAGCCGTCCTTCAAAATAACATTGGCAGACCTGTGACTGGTGCTGTGCTCTTCTGGAAGCAAGAGGGCCTCAGGGACATCTGTGCTCAGGGGACAGTTCTGTGCAGAACTTTCAGGAGAGGAACGTGGCAGAACTTTGTATCCGGTGGGGCGCAAGGAGGCTCCCGGCCATCGGTCCCCCAAAACAGGCTTTATTCTCGTGTTATTCTTCATGGTGTGATTTTCCATACGGACCACTGTACCCCGAACAACCAGTCTTAGGAAGAATGAAGAGGTCAGTGGGCCTGGGCCTTTACAAATGAGATTCTGGCTCGGGACCAAAGCAGAGTGGGATCCAGAGTTGCACGCTGCAGCAGGGCGGGGGGGGGGGAGGTGAGGACAGAAAGGACACCAGAAATGTGACCGTTTGTGCAACAGGGGAGCCACAGAGTCTGCCCTCTGTCCAGCGGCCTCAGCAAGACGTTCTCGTGTGAATACGAGCCCTGCCGTACGTGTTGAAAATGAGGAAGCTAGCGGGGCTAGCCCGTGAGTCGCAAAGGTTGGTGGGGCCCACGTGCAAACCTTACGGCCACCCGAGATGGAGGAGTTGCAGGGATAGTCGGGGAGGCGCGTGAGGCTGGAAAAGGTCGGAGGTGCCTGTTAGTGGAGGGAACCGGTGTGGCTGGCGCTTCGGTAGGTGTGTGGAGGTGGGACCAGCCGGTAGGGAGGGGACGGCACCAGTAGCCTGCGCAAGGGGTCATGTCTCAGTGGGCCTCGGGGATGAACCCTGTCCCTGCTGTCTTGTCACGCTCGTGGCCACGTTCAGCCCATGGCCACGGGCAGGGCGAGCTGGACAAACACGCTGGAAGCAAGGTGAGGAAGCCTGGCCTCAACTATTTTTGAGCAGTTTTAGGGTAGCAGGACGTTGTTTATAGAGAGTGTTCCCTTTCTTTTATGCACAGTCGTCATCGTAGTGTCTTATATTAGAGAGGTGCACGCGTCCCAACCGGTGAGCCGATAGCGATGCGTTCGTTCATCAGCCGATGTCCACCGTTTCCATTGAGGCTCGCTGGGTGAATCGTACATTCCGTGGGCTTGGACAAATGCTACTTGTCTGCCTCTCTACCCCTCACACTCCCCCAAGCACCTGCCACCCCTGATGTGTGTACCGTCTCTACAGTGTTGTCCCTGTCAAAATATCATACAGTCAAAATAGTACACTGTCCAGTCCTTTCACACTGGCTTCCTTACACTTCATCTCACGCACGCGGATGTCTTTTTGTGGTTTGGTCGCCCATTTGTGTTCAGCGATGAAGCATTACCCCACCGCTGCCCCGTGTTCATGGAGCACCCCTTAGTTGTCCGTCACCCACCAAAGGACAGTTTGGCAGCTTCCAAGGCTTCGGCGGTGGACGAAGAACCTGCCATACTTGTGTGTGTTGCAGGTTTTGGTGTCTGTAGATGCTACCGTGGGAGTCGCATTTTTAAATCAGGCTTCTCTTCACAGGATTGTGTTCACGCTGAGGCAGTTCTACACACTGGAAAGGTCGGTGCCCTTTGACATGGGGGCGCACGGCTGGGCGCCCTTTGGCAAAATACTAGCGGCAGCCGAGGGAGGGAAACCCGCCGTGCCCTGTGACCCGCCCCGTCGATTATTTCGCTTACAAATTACACGTGTGTGTGTGCGCGTGTGTGTGCCAAAGGGACAGTTGCTCTTCAAAACAGAAGTGAGGCTCCCATGGTGCTATCGATGCTTCCTCTTCCCACTCGTTAAACTGATTACTGTTTTCAAAGTGCTGGGGCCTTGCATTCCCATGCAGGCGGGGTGCTCAGCAGTAGCAGCAGGACACTGGAAGTCTGCCTGCTGGTGACGTGTCCCTGCAGACAGACCCCTCCAATGGGCTGCATGCATCTCGTCCCCTGGTTCTGAGCAGGGCATTTATGGACGTGGTGAGCCTTCGAGGAGTGGTTATCACAGGAGTTAACAACCCGAGGAAAGACTGAATGCACTCCAGTGGGGGGCACTAACAATGAAACAGCAAAAGCACATCTTGCGGCCAATGGCGTGGGGTCTTGCTTCTGCATCAGGAGTCCCCTGTGCCACCTCCTTGGGGCGCTGACCCAGCCTGCGTTGCTTCTCTCCTTCCTGGGCAGAGAGAGAGCAGCCTCTGGGTGGAGACCTATCTCCAGGACGCATGCCCGACGTGGTACATCCGATGTGCTTGTGGTGGTCGCTAATTGTTTCGGCCACCAAGGACGCCCGGCCTTCTCGCACAATTCCACTTGCTGGGGTCGTGCCATAGTGAAGAGATGGGCACCACCGCCCATGTGGTGCCACGCCGAGTGGACAGGGCAGGCCTCTCACTCATGGAATGAGCCTGGGTCGGGCCAGCCGGGTGGGCCCCACGCTGGTCTGCAAACAGCTGGAGGCAGCAGGGCAGGAGACTGATGCCACTGTGTAGAGTGGCAAGGGCTCCGAGTGACCCAGAGGCGGCAGTCGGGGGTTTTCTGTTGCCCACTGAGCTCAGGGGAGAAGGGAGGGGTTGCTGAGAAGCCACTAGGAGTCACACATCACTAGAACAGAGTCAGACGGCAATCCCCCAGTGTCTGCCTGCGTGCATCCATTCAGTAAGCAAACCTGCAGCCCCTGAGCGTGTCCAAGTGTGCCACAATTATAAGGCGCATTTATTCCCCCAGCTGGACTGGCATTTCCTTCTAATGGACCAACATTCCAGTCATAGCCTCCTAATCAGCCCCTTCTAAAACCTTCATCCGGCATCTGTTTTTTCCCAAAGGGAAAAGCTTAGGCATGCAGGAAGTTCAAAAGCTCGCCTACACCCTAGATCCGCGCTTCTTTAACCTACGCCCCGTCCTTGCCCTCGTCCTGGGTTCACTGCAAGAAGACGGTGGCTGTCGTGTGCCTTGTATGTGGGTATTCCAGGGCATACGTCTAATTCCACCCCTCCCCTTAACGTCCTTTCCTTGGTTCTTGGTGCGTCCATCCACATGAGTCCCTGGAGCTCCAGGGTCTGGGTTTAGAGTCCGACCTCACTCTCCGTTCCAGCTTCCTCACCTCCTCGCTGTGGGAAGCGGAGCTGCCCACTTACCTTTGCGGAGCGTGGCTGCCGTCATCTGTCGCGTGGATGACAAAAACAAACCTCTTTCCTCGTCGGCTCCGGTGAGGTGTCAGCAGGAGAGCACGTGAGCTCACCCTGTGCGTGTGGGCACGGCTGCCGCCGTGGTGGTCGGAGGTTCTCCATGGTGATGTTGTTGATTTGAGGAGCTGTTACCCGGGGGCAGACGCAAGGTTAGGTTGGCGGGAAGAAGGCGAGGACGAGAAAAAGGAACGTGTGAGCAGTGCTGATATTCGTGTTGGGTGGTTTTGGACTTGAGCATCCCCTGTCAGCATTGTCAGAAGGAATTCATCCCATAATATCTGGAGACAGGTTTTTCTTTCATACAGGAGGGACATCAATGGTTGGGCATCTCTTTGTTTGTTGTGTCTAGTCAGTGAGGACAATGTACTAGGCTTGTTTGTAAGTCGAGGCCCGTGGGCAGCTGGCCTCTCTCTTCTGGCAAGTTCCTGCACTCGGGTGAGGACCGATCAGCCTGACTTTCATAGAACACGTTATGGAGTCCCTTTGCAGAGTCGCCCTAGGCTGCTGAGGGCTCCCATGGATGCTTCTAGATGTCACCTGGTCCCCCGATCGCCCCTCGTGCTGCGCACCATCAGCCAGGGACAGCGGCGTACGCAACGGTCCCTGCTTCCCACCCCGAGTCATAGGCAGCAGACACGTCCACCAGGGCCCCTGGGCCCCGTTGACTTTGGAAAGACCGAGCTGTTTTCACAGGGAGTGTGTTCCTCCCTTCAGGGCAGATCTTGAACGTCCTGGAGGAGTTAAGGCTGACGAACAACACCCTCGTGTACTTCTCGTCCGACCAAGGGGCCCACGTGGAAGAAGTGACCACCAGAGGGGACATCCACGGAGGCAGTAACGGGATCTACAAAGGTGAGGATGCGCATCGGCCCCGCCCCCCGCCGTCCCACTGGCCACACCGTCCTCTATCCCACAGCATTGGTGGCTCTGCAGACGCTCGGCCCTGCTCGGGGCTGGCTTCCTGTGGTGGCCCACGTCTGCTGTGCTCCCCACGGAACCCAGAGGCACGCCGGCCGTGTCCCAGCGTGCAGGACACCAGACCCAGGCTCGTACACGGAGCCGCGGGGGTCTTCCCGTGCAGTGAAACCGGGCGTGTCTGTCCTGGATCCGTGAGGACGCGGCCTGCGTGGGGGGCGTTGGTTTCATTTGGTGTTACAGCCGCCAGCGTCTGCCAACAGGTAGTTCCAGACAGCCTTTCACACGCTGGTCCCTCCTTTGTTCTCCGCCCCAGGCCCGCTGGCTTCCAAGGCCGTCAGCCGAGGTCATGGGCGTGGGTAGCAAGCAGTGTGAGAGACGCTGGTGACAGACAGGGGGACGGGGGCGGGCTTCCTGTCATCACCGTGGGCCTTTGCAGACAAGAGCGGGAGGGGTGAGAAGGGGACCTCGAGGGTCCCACGTGGCAGTCAGGAACTGGGGTGACCGCGCCGTCCCAAGCACAGGCCAGCGCGATCCCTTTGCCCACCGATTGTTCTTCACGAGCAGGGGCTTTGAAGCAACGCCTATCGTCTCCTTGTTCTGCAGCTCAGATGTGGACGCCGCGCCGTGCTGGGGTCCAGATGGGCTGCAGGCAGGGCTGGGTTTCCGCTGCAGGTTCTCGGGGAGCACGCGCTAGCTGCCTTTTCCAGCATCTCACATCGCCTGGCTCCCCAGTTTGTCACCTCCCCCCACCTCCAAAGCCGGCGGCGCAGCCTCGGCCGGGGCCTCTCTCCCCACGAGCCCTGCAGCTCCTCTTCCCATGTTGCCCTCTGTTCCCCGCAGGGACATTGGCAATGGCCCCGGACCCACACAGAGAGTCTCGATAATCTCCCCCTTAGCCACACGAGGTCCCGTAGCCCCAGGTTTCAGGGGTGGGGCGTGGCCAGTTCGGGGGGCCACCGTTTTGCTCGCTGACACTGGTACAAAGCCGGCTGATGCCCAGGCCGCTGTTGCCGAGGCTTCCTGGTGACAAGGCCGTCGTTCAGGTAGCCTGGGGCGTGCGTGCCACGCAGCGCTGGCTGCCTCCCGGGTTGCTTGGTTACCACCATGGTTTCTGTGCTCTTGCAAAACCCGCGTTGCCCGTTCGAGAATGCCTTGATGTGAGCCTGAGGAAGACATCTTCTCCCTGCTGCCTGCGCTCTGCCTTTCAGGAGGAAAAGGGAACAACTGGGAAGGAGGCGTCCGCGTGCCGGGCCTGCTGCGCTGGCCGGGGGTCCTGGAGGCCGGGCTGGAGGTCCACGCGCCCACCAGCAACATGGACATCTTCCCCACGGTGGTCACGCTCGCGGGGGCCGCGCTGCCTCAGGACAGGTACCATGTGCCGCAGAGACGGGGGCAGTGTCTCGGTCAGACTTTGGGGTCGCGTGAGCTCTGCTCTCCCTGCAGACGGACGTCCCCTCCGGGTGGGACTGGTCACCCGCACGCAGTCCAGGGCCCTTGCTGGGGGCACCTTGGACGCAGAAATTCTTCTGCTGGGCCCGCTGTCCTGGCGGGAAGTGGACTCCCAGGCTGCGGTGCGCAGTGTGGCCTTGCACGGACATTCCCCGTCCAGCCTGCTGCTCACCTGTGCCTCCCACACGCCCGGGCCCCCCCCCTCCTGCCTGGAACTGCCGTGTCCCCTGGGCGGCCCCAGCAAGGACAGCAGCCGGGTCCCCACTAAAGAGCTCTCCTCCCCAGCATGTGTTCCTTTGACAAGCTCTAAATGCCACGTCTTTCTCCGAAGTTCCACTGCGACTCCCACCCCTGGGTTTTGCCCGTCGGAGGGCTCGCGAGACGAGCTCGCTGACAGATTGTGTTCATTCGCTGGGTGGCAGCCAGGCTGATGTCACGCAGCTGGGCTGCAGGTCCCGGCCGCCAGGGGACGCCCAGGGAGGGAGGGAGGGGACCCAGGCGCACAGAAGCCACAGCCCAGCCAGCGCGGAGTCCTGGGGAGTCTCGCTCACCTCCCGTGGTTCATGATCCTGTTTCCTTGCTCCTGTTTGTTTTTGGGGTTTATCGGGTTCCCACTTTAGTTGCCTGGGCCCCACCCCAGCTCACACACACACGCAGGCGCGTGGGGAAAGGCAGCAGTGTGCAGGTCAGCCGTTCTCAAGCGTCCGGGGCTCAAGACCCCTGTACACTGTTGTTTGTTTGTTTTTAAATGCTCACCCGGGGATGTGCGTACTGGTTCTAGGAAGTTAGAAACAGAGAGATGGAGAGACAGACAGACAGACAGACAGACATGGAAGTGAGAAGCATCGCTGGGCTGCCTCCCGTAAGCACTGAGACAGGGGACCAAACCCAGAACCCGGGCACGTGCCCTGACTGGGAATCGAACTGCCGTGCACACTCTTTAATGATCAAGGCCCCCAAAGAGCGTTTGTTTAGGGGGCTGTGGCGTCATCTCGTCTGCCCACATCCGTCACATTGGCGATGGAACCTGGAAAGCAATTTTGAAACGCAAGCAGCCCCGAGACCTCGGTTCCGTGGCTGACAGAGTGCGGACCTCCCAGCGGGCACAGCTGGGGAGCCCACAGCAGGCCCCCAGAACTGTGGCGTGCAGACGTCAAGGAGCACCCAGTGTGACTGTGAACAGTCCTCTGGACCTCGCAGACGCACAGAGAGGGTCTCAGGCCCTGGCAGGTGTCAGGAAAAGGGACCCAGTCACAGCCCTGGCCTGGCGGGGTTGACGGCAGGGCCAGGAGTGTCCGAGCATGAGGTCCCATGTGGAGATCGTGGGGATGGCTTGCACTTTTGTGGCAGCCCCTGTGCAGAGGCGGATGTCCCTCGGGGCAGGTCTGTCTTCTTCCGCGTGGGACTCCCGCCCAGGCCCCAGAACCGCAAAAACCATGAGCACGGAAAGCGTTTCCAAGGTCTGCTGTAGTCCAAGTATTGTTCTTCTGCGTGGGGACAGGCAGGAGAGTCGGCAGCAGCCACCCCTCAAAGTCTTTCCTAAAGCCCCAAATCTCCCTCCCAGGGAATCCGTCCAGCCACCGGGCCTCACTGTCGGCCTGGGAATACATCTCAGTGCGCTTTGGCAAAAGCAAGGTATGCACTGCTTCCCTGTAGCTTGGTGATTGTCAATGACGCTGCAGCGAACATTAGGGGCGCACAGATTTGGTGTCCGGATTAGTGTTCCAGACTTCCTTGTTGTATTTTCCATAGCACACAGGTGACACACACTGTGTCCCCAGTGACCCTCTTTGTCAGTGCCCCACACCTCCTCCTTCGGGGCCTGTCCAAACCTTTCTCTTGTACTGTGACCCCCAAACCCCCCCCCAAGCTGGCTTGGCAAAGGCAGCACAGGGCGGGTCGATGGTTCACGGGCCCGAAGCTGAGAGAGACGGCACATTCCCGGAGCTCACGGTGACGTAAGGAAAGTCCCCAAAACACACTCTCTCCGGTTGCCTGAAACGTCCTTCCAGGCTGCCCGGCGCAGCCTGGAAGGTGGAGACTGCTCTTCGTGGCAACCGGTTGCTGACACCGTCACCGTTGCTGTGATGCGTGACTTTGCCGGTGTGACACAATTTCAGAGGAATGCGTTTCAGAGTCGCAAGCGGGCGCCACGGGAGCCCGCATCCCGGTCTTCGGCAGGGCAGTCTGTGCCAGCCTGGCGTGCGGGCTCCCCTCCGTGGGCGGAGATGGTCAGGATCAGGTCATCAGTACAGAACACCGCAGTCCTTTGTGTCCATCCGTAGGCGCCTGGGCCCCTGGTCTGCAAACCGCGATGCCATGGAAACACGGCCCTGTGCCCTGGGTCAACGAGAAACGCGCCGGCTCGGGCTGGCAGGCATGGGCTGTGGTGCCGGGCATGTGGGGTTGAAAACAACCCCACTACGTTGGGAGTTGGGGCACCAATTAGAAGTGCAGCCCCAAGGGGTCATGTTCCATTTTTCAGGGCGTGAATGAGCCTCGTTTTGACATTCCTGAGTGCAGCTAAACGGTGGCTTTCCACGGGTGCCGTGGAGGATGGGGGGGGTGAAAAGGGGGGGTGACACTGCACTTGAAGCAGAAAACGTTTGCAGAAGAGACTTTGCTTCCCTCTGTGTTAAAACATCTTAAATACTTTGCTGTTAGGGGAGAAAAAAATGACATGAGACATGCCGTCTTATTTTTTTTTTTAAGGTAAATGCTGCCTTCTAGTATCAGGAGCCAGTCCCGTGACCCAGTTCCCATCCTGGCAAGCAGTTTACAGTCTTTATCATTTCGTGTTAGTTTCAGGGGTACAGCATGGTGCTTACACAGCCATAGACTTTACACAGCGACACCTCGATATTCCCAGCACCCACCTGGTCCGACGCAGACTTATCGCCATATCACTGACTATGTTCCCCCAGCTGTACTTCGTATCCCCAGGTTGAATCTGTAACTGCCCCCCGTATTGCTTCACCCCCTCGTCTTTCCCCCCTGCAGCCCCCCAGCCCCTGCCAGCTGTCAGTCTGCTCTGTGCACCTGCAAGTCGGCTTCTGTTCCATTTATTCTCTTTCCCAGGTCCCACAGACTGGTGGAATCGTACGGTATTTGTCTTTGTCCGCCTGACTTCCTTCCCGGATCAGAATGCCCTCTAGGTGACAAAGGATAAGATGGGCTTCTTGTTTATGGCCCAGTAATATTGTACTGTATCTATTTCCACTCATCTATGGACAGGCCCTTGGGCGGCTTCCGTGTCTTGGCCGGTGGAAGTGATGTTGCAGTGATCAGAAGGGAGCATCTGTCGTTTGTAATGTAGCATTTCTTCACATGGATTCCCAGGAGTGGCATCGCTGGGTCCGAGGGCCTTTCCACGTTCCATTTTCTGAGGAGACTCCATCCTGTTTTCCTGCTGCCCCAGTCTGCATTCCCACCCACAGTGCACTAGGGTCTGCCCTTTCTCTACATCCTCGCCAGCACTTGTGTTTTTGTGGATTCATTCGTGGTAGCCATTCCAGCAGGCGTTGTGTCCTCTGTTTTTAAACCAAGTGTTGTGTTTTGATGGCTCATGGCCAAAAAAAAAAGCACGCACACAAAAACAGCTTCAAGAAACAGAGGTAGAGATTGTATTAAAAAACCAACAAACAAAAAATGCAGAGGTTCGTCCGTGCTGTTGAGTGGCCAGGGAAGAGCCTGCTCTGGACTCAGGGGGCAGGTGGGGAGAGGCGTCTGGCCCGTGTCCTGTCTCCCCCGTCTGGGTCATTTGTCCCCACGGGGCTTCTGGGACTCAGGCACCTGCACGCTTCCCCATCACCCCTTCCTTCCTCGCCCCCACCCCAGATGACGCGTTATGAAGGACTGAGTCTTTCTCCAAGACGATCGGAGAGGAGCAAGTCCCAGTAACCGGCGTTCTGGGATAGAAACACTTTTCCAGAGCCCGTTCCGCTTCTGCATAGACCTGTCCTTGTCACCTATTTCTTTACCTTCCTCTCATGGCGAACGGGACTGACAGCTTGGGACACAAACCAAGCCTCTCTTTGGTACTTATCTTTATCTTGCAAAAAGGGAATGTTTTCAGCCCACAGACACCCTGGAAGGCATGGTGAATACTGAGGAGGCCTCCCAGGGCTTTTAGCGACGCCAGAATAAACCACAAGTAAAAGCTGAAGGGGTGCAGGATTCCTCAGAACGCTTACCCAAATCACACGGCCAAGGGAATACTGCTATGGTGGCGGGGGTGATAGGCGAGGGGCATTTCCAGTCGGAGGAGGAGCGGCCTCGGGTTGAACTGTCCACATCTTTCAAAGGGGCTCATTGCAATGGCGGTGGTCTAGCCGTGTGCGCAAGTTCAGCTCTCTCATGGCCATGCCTCTTTGTTCAGCTGAAAGCAAAGTGCTGGGCTTCCATCCACCCCTTCAAACTCCAAGTGACCTGACATCGCTCCTCCCCCGTTGTGTGGTCAAAAGGAGGTTTGCAGTTGCCCCTGTGGAAAATAGTGAATAAACATGAACCCAAGAGTGAGCTCTGTCTTCTGTATCCTCACCACGGTGGCAGAGCTACTGTGCGGGTCAAGAGCCTGTGCCATGGACTCTTGACCCGCACGGAGGTCGGGGGGCCGCCCACCCATACAGTCGAAAATGGGGGCACAACGTCTGTGGGTCCCATCATCCAGGTTTTACAACTGCTGGTCGAGCCCTGAGCCGAGAGGATGTGGAGTTCGGTCCAGTGCACTGAGAGAATGCATTGCAGAACGCCCCGTGTAGCTCACACTCCTGCCCCCCAAGGTCAACCGCATCTGTGTTTGGGAGCCATCAGGCCCAGGGGCCTTTGTATCAGCTTCCTTTTCACACCTGAACTCCATCCGATGTCAGTGAAGCGCGCCCGATCCCATGTTCACCACGCTCTGTGTTATGTTTCTTTCTTTGGCCCACATTGTCAGAAATCCTCATGTCCAGTACACTTACGGTTCGGGAGTGAAGCTCTGTCTTTGCAGGGGAACAGGCAGAAAAGAAGCTTTAGGAGTGGAGTAGGGAAACACTTCAGAGTGTGGGTGCCCAGCCAGCCGGGGCCGCCTCCCAGGGGCTCTCCCGCTGGTCCCGGGACCTTGGAGAAGTGACCTGTTCCTCCTGGTCCGCGGGGAGTGATAACAGCCTCAAGTCCTGCTGCCATTGGGAGGGTTCCAGGAGTTTGCCCGGGGGGGTGCAGCTGGCCTCCCCGCAGGGGACACAGCACCCAACACGGGCCAGCTGGTGCGTTTGTGCCGGTCACTCGGGGACCACGACGCAGCCCCCCTTTCACCGGAAGGACGACTCGGGGCCCGGGGAGTTTCAGCCTAAGCACGGTGCGGCCCTTCCCGCCTCACGCCCGCCCGCTTTGTCCCACAGGGTCATCGACGGCCGGGACCTGATGCCGCTGCTGCGGAGCCCGAGCCCGCCCTCGCACTCGGAGCACGAGTTTCTGTTCCACTACTGCAACTTCTACCTGAACGCCGTGCGCTGGCACCCGCGGAACAGTGAGTGAGCCCCGCTGCCCGTCTGGGCCGCTCCCTGCGACCAGCGCCGTGCGTGTAGGTGAATGTTGGGGGTGCCGAGCTCCGCAGCCGAGGCCGGCGGGGGGCTCACAGGGCAACCGTGCGTGGCTTCGAGTGCCGCCTCCTGTCCTCTGTGACTCCCCCTGCTCCCGTCCTCGTGTGGGCAGGACGTCCAAGGGCTGGGCGCTCACCACGTGGACTTCAAACAGTCCCATGTCCTCGGGCTTCCCATTCTGCACTGGGCCCCTCTCCTCCGTACGCAGCCCATGTGCGCTTGTAGGTCCTGGATGGATGCCCTTCTCTCCGTTCCTGGAGCACTGCCCCCAGCCCCTCGGACATGCCCCGTCCCAAGCCCCCCCTCTAAGAGCTTTCTCAGTCCCCTCGCTTGGCGCCGTAGCGCCCTGAACCGCGTGGAAACGCTCGCCTGCTCTCTTCCCCGGAAGCCCACAGGAGGCCGGTCCCGACTCATCCGTCCCTCTGGTGTTGTGTCCATTTTCTGGGCGTAGATCTTTGGAAGCGAGTGCACACGCTCGATGCCCTCGGGTTTCCCAGGCCGGGTGCGGTGGTGCTCCAGTCCTGTGCTCTGGGAGGGGTGGTGTGGAACTCGGGGTTTCCGACACCGTGCGTAGAGCCGTTCTCCGACAAGCCCGAGGGTGCACACAGAACCGGGTGATAACTGTACCTGTGCTGACAGGTGTCGGGGTTTTGTTTTCTATATATTTAAACTTAGGACTGAGATGATGTTCACGGCACTGAGATGCCTCAGGGTCAGTGGAAATCCGGAAGCTATTTATGCAACAGTGGTGTGTTTTTGAGGTGGACGGTGAGGTTAGGAGTCCTGTGTAGTCTTGAGAGGTGACCTAGAGCTCCCCGTTTGTCTGTTGTGTTTGGGGATGCGGCTACGGGAAGCCAGTCTGCCAGGACCCTCGTAACTTCTCACCGGCGGCTGCTTCTTAAGCTCAGAGCAAGGCTCCCCGCGGCTCTCAGCTCACCGGTCTCCCACCCCTGTTCATCCAGCCAGTTTACCAGGGACATGTCATTCCGAGTCCATGTTCGTTATTTTTAAAGTGGAAAACGGCCCCCCTTCTGTTACCCGCAGACCTCAAACCACCTTCCCCCACAAAGTTTCTATTCCCCGTGCAGGCGGCTGCCTCGGGTTCCTCTCTGGGCGCGGGACGGACCCAAAGCGACAGAGCCAAGTCCTGGAGGGGCCGTGCTGGCCTGTCTCAGCCACGCGTCTGTCCTTGCAAACCCCCGCAGGGAGGCCGTGGCTCTTTGTAGGGGCACTGACTGCACGTAGGTCTCAGCCGCCGAGGAAAGGAGAGCTGTACTTCTACCCACTTCTGCTTCCACGGAGCCCCCAAAACATGCAAACAATGGCATTTCGGGGGTGTGCCCGTGTTTAATGAAGGGTAGTTGCGTGCTGAACTTTGCACATTGAAATAGAGACAGTCCCACAGAGTGAGGCGAGAGGGCACCTGTTGGGTCAGGGGGCTGCAGAAACACGGAATGAGGGGCCGCTAGCAGAAGCAGGGAGAGGCAGAACATGGGGGTCCGCGGGGGAAACAGGCCCCAGGCCCCGAGAGGCCTCGGCCCCTTTGGATCCAACCTGCTTCTTCAAGAGACACGTCTTCCCACACAAGTTCTTACAACGCCCTGCCTCAGACCCGCAACACAGGGGTAGAAGTCACAGTGAAGTCACGCTACAATCACTGGTCAGACTCGAGGGTCTCCGGAAGCCATGGTTTCGTGAGTCCTCTCTCATTCACTGGCAGCTGGTCCCTGACCCTCAGTCCCAGTGGGTGGTGCCTCGGCCAGCGTGCACGCCTTGTGGGGGGCGATCTTCCCTTTCACGTACTCACTCAGGCTGCGGATGTTTAGGGAGCAGCTCCTGTGTGCGTAGAGAGGCGGGCTGGAGTGGGCACCTGTCCGTGAACACGGCGGTTTTACGTCACGTCCGACGGGGGAGTTGAACGTCACATGTACACACGTACCTCTGCCGTGGACAGTCGTTAGTTGAGCAGCTGCCGCAGTCCCACGCTGCTTATGTCTGAGACGGTTTTCTGCCCCGAGCTGTGGGAAGAGAGGAGAGGGCAGCGGGGCGTGAGCAGGGGCAGCTCTCCCATGCACGGAGTTACCTGTGAACCAGAGACCCGCCGGGTGAGTTGGCTGAGGCCCTCTCGGGTCCCCTCGGCTCGGGGGTGGCCAGTGACCCCCACACTGCCTGGTGGGACACTTCCCATAATTCCAAGGGGTGGCAGGGCTGCTATCTGACCTCAGACTCCTTCCTGGGAAGAGGGAAGAGGAATTCTGGGTGTCAGGGTGAGGAACAGACCACGTTGGGGTGCAGCGGGGTTCAGCGATCAGCAATCCACCAGCTCTTGTGCCGTTGCTAACGTGCAGCCCCCTCCCCCCGTGGGGGGCGGTGTGGACACCGTGGCAATGGGCGGACGTGGCCAGCCCGGTGTGGCTCCACCCCTCGGGCAGGGCCGGCTTCCCCCGGCCCAGGGAACCCAAACCACCGACGGGCACTTCACGTTCCAATTGCTGAGGCCACACATGACAATTAAATACTTATGTTCCCCAAATGTAACAATTCTGTTTCGGCCCTTGTGAATCCCTTCCAACTTTTGTGGAGAATGTGTCCTCTCTGAGTTAATAACCCTGGAAGCGTAATGATTCTGTAACTCAGTTCTCGGGGTGAGGCGAGGGACATGATTTCAACAGGGACTGATCTCGTCAGTCCCCTCACGCTCGAACAGGCTGCCCCAAACCGAGCATGTAACACGGGTCACTTGTCTGGCATTAGCGTGGGGGACTCGAATCCACACGGAAGGGCAGGGGCACAGTTTAGTGTGACGTGTGTGCCCGCCTCGGACCAGGGTCCCTGTTCCTGTTCCCTAGCCTACACACGGCGGCTCATCACAGGCACAGCGTCCCTGTCAGACACGGGGGCAGCAGCTGGGGGAGCGGGGATGCACCCACCTGCCTGCATGGGCGTCAGGCGCTCTCCGCTGCAGCCCTTGTCCGAGTCTTTTTTGTTTTCCACGTGATCACAGCGCCGTGAGTGGAACGCAGCCTGCCGTGGGGGCTGGGAGAGCGTGCTGTCTCGTCCACGAGCCCAGGGCTGGCTTGTGCAGGGTCCGGGCCCTGGGGAACAGGTAGGAATACACATCACGGACAGAAGAGGCCGGGGCCCCACAGTGCCCACGCAGGGACCGTGGATGTGAAGACAGGGTATCCTGGGCGGCCCCAGGTACAGCCCCCCCCCAAAGGTCTTTGGGTTCAAGAGAAGAACTGCGGTGTTTGTCTCGTGTGGCCACCCACAGAGAGCAGGTCCTGACCCCTGCAGGTAACAGGTCCTTGCAACCATGCATAACAGGCTCTCAAACTCACAGATAATGGGTCTTGGAACTGACGGATAACAGACCCTGGAACCCATGGGTAACAGGCTCTTTTTGGACCCACAGATAACGAGTCCTGGAACCCGTGGATGACAGGGGCCCTTTCTGGGTCTGTGGATAACAGGTGCTCAAACCACGGGTAACGGGTCCTGGAACTGCGCATAGTGGGTCGCTTGCCCTGTGCTTCCCACTTCTTCCCTCAAAAACCCAAGACCGGCCACGTTCCCTGGTGCAGGCCTATCTCAGGCCAGAGTCTCCCTGGGGCCGATGCACACTCCCCTGGCCATTAATCGCTTGTGGTTAATTCTATCCATTCAGTTTGTACGCGGATCATTTGCTCGCTAAATACCCACAATGACAGCAGCCACCATTGCCATGACGTCCGCAAATCATCCGAGGGAATTAAATGGCTGTGTGTTGCTTGCTGGCGGCTGAGGCTGCACGATGTACGGGTCACATCCGTCGGGAGAGCATGAGAAAGGGTATTTGTGTTGTGCAGCTCAGTCCAGGGGGTCCGCGCACCTGCGTTCTGGCTTTTCCGTGCTTTGTACCCCGGAAACGGCCTTGCAGACACCTGTCGTGGGGGGGGGGGTCTGATCGGCAGCCAGCTCTTCAGAGAGCGAGAACATGGCAGAATAAACAGCAAACAAATCCATCCTTTCGTCACGGGCCGAAACATCTTTTCCTGACATGTTAACATTTGGAGATTTCATGGCACACGGAGCTTCCCGCTTCGGAACAGTCGAAGCGTCCCGCCCTGAGCCCAGCACCTTCCCCTGGTTTGGGGGGTCCGACACCTTTATCCAGCGAATAACATACAGGCTGCACCGTTGCGGCTCGGTCGTGTTCGGTGAATGGGTAGCGTTTGGCAAGTCTTATCACGACCTTGCGTTGGAAGGTGCCCGTCAGCTCCCAGATCCCGTGTGTTCGCCGTTGCAGAACCACCCCGCCCTCGGCCCCATGCTCACGGGCCGGTGAGGGACATACTTTTGCACTCTCTCAAGGCTGAGGAAACGAGAGGTTCACCGAGGTCCAGGGTGTGCCCTTGTGCTTGGTGGCCCTGCAAGGACATGTGCGTGTGCACAGCACAGGGTCCATGTCAGCAGGGAGGCTGCCTCTCTCTCCCTCCTGACTGGTTGTAGGCAGAATCGCAGGCTGTACCTTGAAAGTGTGGGCATGGGAATACCACAGGGAGCCGAGCTGGGGGCTTCCCCGCTGTCCGTCCCTGAGCATTTATCGAGAGCCCCCTCGCCATTTCCGGGCTGGACAGTTTACGGGAGGAAAACGGCAGCCCTGTGTGAGTTCCGTGCTGAAACAAGGGGGGTCGTGCCCCCCTTTTCACTACCACGCTGCATCAGGAGGCAGAGACCGGGACCACGTAAGCAGGAGACAGCGAGGGGCAGAGATGGGCAGGCGGGGGCAGGGAGACTCAGGGACGGGGAATAAGGAGCGGATGCCGGGGCTCGCGTGCGCACACCCTCACCACTGAAGCAGCCGCGGCACCGTCTCCCCAGCGGGTCCGAGGCTTGTGTGCGACCCACACGCAGATTTCCTCCTTCAACACCCCACGGCGTGCACGGGCCCCCGGCCCAGGGCCGCGAGATCTCAGTGTGGGGTCTGGTGGGCGGTGAGTCTGGCCAGCGTTGCCCCCGCCCGTGACCCCACCTGTGTCCTTGTGCACCGCAGGCTCCTCCATCTGGAAGGTCTTTCTCTTCACGCCCAACTTCACCCCCGAGGGCGCCAATGGCTGCTTCCTCACACACGTGTGCTTCTGTCACGGACGCTTCGTCACCCGCCACGAGCCGCCGCTGCTGTTCGATCTCTCCAAGGACCCCAGGGAGAGCAGCCCCGTGACCCCGAGCACCGAGCCCCGCTTCTGGGAGATCCTGGAGGTGATGCAGCGAGCGGCAGACCGCCACGCGCGCACCGTGCAAGAGGTCCCCAACCAGCTGTCGCTGCAGAACCTTCTCTGGAAGCCGTGGCTGCAGATGTGTTGTTCCTCGGCCTCCGGCCTGTCCTGCCAGTGTGACCAGGAAAAGCAAGACCGGGGAGGGAGCCCATAGCCGGGCTCGTCTGCGGGCAGGAGGGACGCTCGGGGCCCAGTCCACCCTTCCCGTGGCAGGGGGGGAGGGGGAGCGTCACCGTGCACACCCAGCATCTCGCACTGTGGTCCCATCTCGGACTGTGGTCCCCTGTCTACCTGGTCACCCAAGGGCCCCGCCGAGAGCTCCCACAGTGGGGAAAAACTCAACAGTGCGCACAGGGACAGATGCTCGACATATGCCTTCCACGGTCAAGTGCGTGCACTGGTGTCAATGCATGAGGGTGAATGTATCCAAGATGCTGGGATGAAATGTGGGAAAGGCAAACCCCCGCTTCGCCCCACGGGGGTGTGCGTGACTCTGCCGGGCCCCCGGCAACACGGAGAGCACCGTGCACAGAGCCCCCCACCAGGCTCGACCTGGGCCACGGGGGAGGGACTGAAGAACCATCGCTTTCACGGGCAAAAGGTGCTGATGAGTTCCCCTCTGGTGACTGGAAGGCACTCGCTGTCAGTATTATTGAGAACACACAAACTACTACTCACAACCTGTGTATTTTATGTGAGGCCACTTTCCTTCGTCCCTCAAGGAGGTTAAGATATTTAAAATAAACCAAGTAGCCAGTTATCCCTGTTTCGGGAAAACCAGTAGACTTCCAGGATAGACAGATTCCCTCCACATGGATCTCTCACTCCAGAAATGGCTCGGAAATCCCTCTTACTGTATAAGAAATATTCTCATGAAAGAGAGCGTCGGCGTGCTGACGATGTGTTGGGGTTCTGGCTGGGATGGTGGTAGAGGAATTTTGGGAAGCTGCTGGCCTGAGCGTGCTTTCGAAGATGACCATGTTCATTCCAAGTTCAAGATGCTCGATGCCAATAGGCTTCCAGATGCCCTGTGAGGTGGAAACATGTGTGGCAGGATCTCCTCACTTGAAGCATGTACATACATTACGTGTATTTATGGGTCCAGCTAACTATTTAACCTGTACAATGTTAAGAGACATGAAGGATACGTTTAGTGCAACAGGAGAATTAAATTATTCGGCTCCGGAGAGACCTACCCTTTTTTTTTGTAATTTTTTTCCTAAAACAGTTTTATTGCACTTGTCGGGGCGGTACTGGGTAATGAACTGATTTAGGTTTCAGGTGCGCAGTTCTACAACGCGTCATCTGTATGTTGTGCTGCGTGCTCACCGCCCCACGGTGAGCACGTCTTCTCCCATCACCATTTGCCCCCCTTCACCCTCCCCGACCTCCCCGACCCCCTTCCCTCTGCTCATCTGCACCCTGTTGTCTGCGTCCGTGATGGTTTTTCTCTCTTGTTTTATTCCGCGCTCCTGTGAGCTCATTGCTGTCAATTCTTGAGTTATACATCCAGGTCCTCGTGGACTTGGAAGCTCTGCGCACACGTTAACCCTTGACACTCCTAGCATTTCAGCAGCGGATGTGGAGCAGGCACTGTTTCCCACGGAGAGCGGACTCACGCCCCGTGCATCCCGGTCGTGAAGGACTCAAAAGAGGGGGCCCACGTGAGAGCCCCCGGAAGGGCTCGCTGGGAAGAGAGGAGACACAGCCGGGGGGACACGTCGGGTCTGTGTCGGGAAAACGTTGCCTGTCACGTGAGTCCCTCTGGTGGCTGAGGTGTCTCGACACCTCCTTGTCCTGTTCAGGCAAAGTCGAAATAAAACCGCCTTTGGCAGTGAGGATGCTGAGGTCCACCTGTGTTTGGCAAACGTGGGGGCGCGTCTGCTACAAGGAATGTACATTCAGTCTCTGAAGGCTTCAGGGTTGGGGTGAGAGGTGCAGAGAGGGGCAGGGATCCAAGCAGCCGCTGACCGGCAGGATGAGACGGCCAGGCAGGGCCAAGGGGTCCGGCACCTGGCCTCGTCTACAGCTCACCAAGAGAGGCTTTAAAAACAAACAAAAAAAAAAACCCACGTGTCCTCATCACCCCCTTCCACCGTGGCAGCCATCGGCTTATTGTTTGTTTTTTTATTAAATCCTCACCAAGAATACGTTTATGGATTTTGCAAAGAGTGGGAGGGGACGGAGAGAGAAAGAAACATCAATCAGCTGCCTCCTGTCCACACCCTGACCAGGAGAATCTGAACCCACAACCCATGTCCGCACCCTGACAGGGAATCGAACCCGCAGCCTGTTGCTGCACAGGAGGAAGCGGCTGAGCCACCCGCCCAGGGCTCAGCTTGTTCTTTATATCTATGGGTGTGTTTCTGTTTTCTTCATTTATTTTTAATACACTTATATTTATGATTATTTGTGTATGTTTTAGATTCCACGTTCAAGTGAAGCCCTGTGTCCTTTCCCATTGACTTATTTTATTTAGCAGAATACGCTCTAGGTCCATCTGTGTGGTTACAGATGGCAAGTTCTTTTTCATGGCTGAGTAATATTCCCTGGCATACACATATACCGCCACATCTTGATTATGCATCTCTCCATGGATGCATAAAGTGTTTTAATTGTTGTCAAACCTGATTTGAGGGAAAAGAACATTTTGGGGGCAGGGTGAAGGTGATAGACACATGGGCACCAAAATAGTCCTCAAACAGAGTTTCAGTGTGTTTTAATGTCTCATGTCTTTATGCAGCGCTTTCATCTGAACACGGAGCCCTCTGTATGCCTCTGCACCCACGCTTCTGGGCGCTGTTTGACGGGCCCTGTGGTCACACAAAGCAGTGCTTTGCAGCGCGGCTGTTTGGCAGCGAGAGGTTGGAAGAGTGAAAGTCAGATACCAAAAGCCTCGTTCTCTCTCCTCTGTGCACTGGGTTGCTCCCAACGACCACAGAGTGAGGATGAACTGCGAGAGCAGGGAGCAGGAGAAAGGGGCATTTTGGGGACTTCGGACTCGCATGGGGTCCCATCCAACCAGGCGATTCTGGAGGAACACTGACCGTGTCTGTCCACAGGAAGGCGGGCAGGTGACGGGCACCGGCAGTGTGGGAGACGGTGGGCCAAAGACGCAAATTTCCTAGAGAATCATCTGCTGCCTTCCATGGCTAAAAAACGCAGACCTTGTTCCCACCTCTGTACTCCCCTCCCAATGCAATGGGGTGGCAACGGCAGACCCTCAACACACTCGCGGTCTGATCCCCCAGTATGTCTACCCGCCTGGCTTCCTGCTGGGCGCATCCCCCCCTTGCCCCGGACACCTCCCCATCTGCCCAAGACCCTTCTCTCCCCACCTGGGATGCCTCCCCACCCACCCCAGATGCCTCCCCACCTGCCCCCGAGGCCATGAAGCAGCTCCCTCCGCGCCCTGCCGTCCTTGGGTTTCCAACGCTGGGATCCGTTTCTTTGTTTCTGTTTTTCAAAGTATCAGAGAAAGTTTATTTACAAAGTCGCAGAGGCAGAAGTGAGCCGTGCAACACATGGGGTTAGGAAACCAGTTAGAACGAAAGAAGGGCCCTGCGGAGGGGGGCGGGGGTGGGGGTGGAGAGCGAGAGCGCACAGGTGCGAGGGCACCGTGGGGGGGAGGGGAAGAAGCGGTGGGGAAAGGCGCCCTCGTGCTCCATGGCCAAGTTCACAGTGGACCGTGTCCGCATTGCTACAACAGCTGCCTCCTCAGGAGAACATCGCTTAGCAACATGTGTTTGTGTAACAGCTCCAAGCGCAGTGACTGCAACATACCCACAGTGAAGAGTGTCAGCTACTATGTTGCAGGCGCCTCTTCAGGGATGGGCGTCTTCCTTAACGGCAATACTAGCGACTAGAAAAAGGCCCACGCATTGGCGCAAAGCAGGGCTTTGTCAGTTTTTGAGGGACAAGCCCACGGGGCCTTGCACAGAGGAGTCCCTTGAGTGTTTTGCCTAAAAAAGTAGCTCGACTCCTAAAGTTTAAACCCCCTCCATGACTTTTCGCGGGGACACTGCTCATCTTACCTGGCCAGTGCACCTGAGTGATTTTTACAGTGCCCTGGCACATGTTACCCAGTCAGAAGGTAGCGCCGCTTTGCCAGGGAGGCCCGATTCGGTGAGAACCGCCGTTTCCAAGCCGTGTTGGCTGTGCTCAGAGGCGGCGGCGCTTTTCGAAATGCAGAATTCCCCATGCACCCATTTCTGTAAGTAGGTCCTCCGCACTGTCAACATTTCTGGTGTGTCCCTTTCACACGGGCTGCGAAACTAAATGCAGACAGCGCACTGGTCACCGGAGGCGGCTTATTCCCTGGTGAGCAGAGCTTCTTGGGACCCATTGGAAGCACCAAGCAGGTGACTGCTGGAGTGGACCGGTTTAAGTCAGAGAAGAGCGGGCAGAATGGCATGTCCCATGTCCTAATTCCTACGGATGTCGGGACCCTGTGAGACACTCACGTAGATCAGACCGTGTCCTGCACGGCCCTGTGTGCTTGCGGCCACAGTGTCACACCTCAGGTAAGTAAGGACTCGGCAAAGGTCCCAAGGAACGGGGGTGCCACACGGTGAGGTGGGGAAATCCCTGCGTTGTCACCTGGTGCAGCCCAGGGAGGCGACCTCAGCAACCACCGACTGTCCCCTGAGCAAGATCTCCCCCTTTCTGTCCAGCCACTGTGATCGGAGGTTGTTTGTGTTTAATGTAGCAACAGTTAAGTAGCTCCACAGATTCGCTACATCAGCCACACTCTGTTTTTGCAACGTTCCATGTGGAGACAGCTCCCCCGGACCAGACTCACGGTCCAGACCCCAGTGAGAGAGCCCCAGAGGACTCACGAAAAACATACTTTTCTCCAATGTTGTCCGCGAAGCCGGAGTCCACTCATCCAGAGACACTGTGTCACCCCTGTGACAGCAAAGGACTAGTTAGTACATTTTGAGAAAACACTTCATCACTCGTTTTCCTGGCTTAGACAAGCTGGGCTACGCCCTGCTGGGACATCTGGGACCCTGGGATATCTGAGGGGTGTTCACGCTTAGAAAAATATTTTAGGTAGTTGGTAGAGAGGGAAATGAAGACAGTTTTTGGGCCAGGGGGAGGGAAAAAGCAAGAACACACAGAAATGAGTGTTTACATCAGGTTGTGCGTATCTTCCGAGATGCACCCACGGCGTAACCTTTCCTGAGTGGATATTCGGGAGGTAACTGGGACGTCATTTCCGACATCACGAGGAAACTGAGTGACCATTGTGTGAGTTCCACCGGTTCCCTTGCTCTAAGAATGATTTGCGCCAGATTTCAGTGCCATCATAAATGTTTCACACGCTGAATCCTACATCATGGTGCGGTAACATTTTTAACCATGTTGAAAGTAAAAAACATTTTTAACGATATGTCGAAAGTGAAAAAGATCATACAGCAGGAATGTTACTGATATTAGGACTTTGAACCGCAGGAAACTGCCTTTTCATCTTTTCCCATTTCAGTTCAGCTTGCCCCTTTGTCCCTGCCCTGAGACGTTTAGGGAATTCAGGTGGTCTACAGCGTCCAGGGACATTATGTTCCACGACCACGCCTCAGAGGGCAGCTTGCGTCCGGGAAATCTTCCCGGCCCTACCGGCTATGACTTCCAGCACAGCGAGGCCGCATCAAAGGTGTTCCAGGGGTAGACACGGTGCTTCTCTTGTGTAGTGGTTCACACTGAACGGTGGGGGTGAGGGGACGGCAGCCCCCCAGCCGCAGTGGGGCAGGCTTATCTGCTACAATGACGGAGAAGGGACAGAAGTCATGTGACACATGGGAGCCAGCCCTGAAGACACTGCCTAACCGTGTGGTTCTCTCCAAAGATGATAAACTGCAGGGTGTCCATCTCACACGCCATCGGCTGCCAGGTGGCAATTACCCAGCGCGAGTCTGTCTGGGGTGATCTTAGATAATGCACCGGAAAGTGTCCAATGGATGCCTCTGTCCAAGAGACTGTGGGGCCCAGGGCAGGGACAGCAGCCGGAATCACAGGCCTTCCTCACCGGCACCATCTCGTATCTCCACACCGAATGGGGACCCGGTGCCAGCTCACCCCTCAGCGGGTGTTACGCACACATATTTCTCTGCCACAGCTCTCCCTGCTGCACCCAAGGTTTCCACAAAGACAAGAGGTCGCTTCTGAAGACGCAAAGATTTGCTCTAAGCAGTGGGGGCGCTCTGGGGTTATCTTGCAACGCCACTGGTCACGAGCCCTGTGTCTAATAGCCCCGTGGCATGTTGGCCAGTGTTTACGACTGGATGCCCACGGCCCACGGTCTTCCTGCAGGCCAGGCAGCTGAGCAAACACGGCGTCTGTAAACCTGTGAACACCACAGGTGCTCAGGGCCGCCTGAGCATTCAGAGACACCCAGTAATCACGTGGAATTCAACCTCTGCGCTTTGCTGGGGCCCTCCTTGGCCAGGCTGCTACATTCCCTAAGTTGACCACCGCCGGACTTTGCACACAGAGGAAGACAAAGGGCTGGACACAGTGACTGCCCGCCACCCTCCGTCACTAGTTCTGAGGATTTCATTGCAGAAGAACATAATTTGGCCTTTCCAGCCTAAGTGGGCAGTTGCAGGGGCCGAGAAGTGAGGACAGTGATGAGCATCGTAGCTCAATTTTAAGGCATCATGGGGATGAAACACATTTCTTCCTTTTATGTAACCTGTTTTAATTATCCTGGTAACAGGATTACCCAACTAGACAACATTTTTCCACGGGACTTAAATATTTTCCACTGGTTTTCCTGTAGTTTGTAAGGACAAAAGCACAGTGAAACAGTTGGCTAAACCATCTCCTAGTCGGCGGGTGA